CCTCAACGATTCTCTAAAAAGAATGCAAATGACCAGCTGCCTACAAGGAATATAAATCCTTCCATTCCCCACCATCCAGTTGCCTCCTGAAAAAGCACCTTTGGGACAACCATGACCTGGATGACTGAGAATCTCCATAGAGACTGGTTAACAATGAATTAGAAATTGAACATGTCTACCCTTGAATAAGTTTTATAAACTGAAGAGCATTGGGTATATTTTCTTTCTGCAGGATATTTATATCTCCCTGCACCTAAGAGAGGTAGCAATGACATATAAACTGAATATTTTAGGGAGTTTCCCAGATCATCTTTTACCGAAAATCATTCTGAGAGGCAGTTTGGTCTAGTGGTTAAGATACTACACTAGAAACCAGGAGACTGTGAGTTCTAGTCCTACGTTAGGCAATGCCTGGGTGACTTTGGAGTCACCTATCACTCAGTTCTAGAAACAAGGCAATGGCGAACTACTAAAAATCTTGCCAAGAAAATTATAGGGACTAATCCAGGCAATTGCCAAGAATCAAGGCTGACCTGAAGGAAAAAGAAAACTATTTTATCCCCACACATGTGGAAAATTTTTTTATCTCTTGAGAATCAGAATGTCTTCCTCTGCAATTTCCAGAAATACATAAAAAAATAATATATTTTTTTTCATTCAGAGCACAAACAAGCAATTGTTATTTTTCCAGATGGAATCTGAAAATGTAATACCTTCCTTCCTCCTCTTGGAGTTGTATCTCTGAGGCTACACGAATTGCCCATGGTTTAATAGTACAATCTACAATTTATCTGGGTTTTAGAATCAGCGTCAGCAAAAGCAGCCAAGTTTGTCATATTGTTCAAAGTTCATAGCAACCAAGTTTGACAAAATCTGATGAGCGTTGGTGCCTTCATGTCGAGAAATGCAGGGCACGGAAAGACTAAAAATTCAGAGAGGCAAAGCTGCTGCACCAAAAATACATACAGTTTCCATCCTTTGAACTATCTTTCTTTGGTTAAAAGCCAAGTAGTTTTATATTTATTTTCACTTGTGCCCTTGGAACTGTGAAGAAAAAATGGCATTAAGGCGGAGATTTATTTACTCCGTGGTCACTAATCAGAAACAATGAGAACGAAGTTATCTCCCCAATCTTTGTTGGACAAATGCAAAAAATAAAAATAAAAAAGCTTTTCAGGTCCATTGTTGTTCTCTCCTTTAGAAGCAAGCCCTGCTGCATTCCTGGCAATGAAGAAATGCCCCCCAAATTTAGAAAATTTCCAAGCAAGTTTTACACCCAGCTTGGAAAATCATGGCAACCGATTAATTAACATTTTTCAGAGACTCAGATAATTTGGAATTCTGCTTTGACAACCAAATCCCTTAGTCTTAGATTGCTTATGTTGATTGATTTAAAAGATACATGGCTGCTCATCTTCAAAAACACAACTTTGGGCAACTTGCCTTGTTCTTAGGGCTTTCTTCTCACTCTATCCATGCTAGGTAGAAGCCACATTTTCTTGTTAGATATTTTCAGTGCTGCCTAATGTTAGATATCAATAGTTTTAGTTCATATGACCTGCAGTATAATATGCAATAGACAGTCAAATGCAGTTTTAACTATTGTTCATATTTGTAAATGATGTCTTGTTGCAAAGGATGTCTCATGCTCTGATGAAACAGTGTTGGCTCAATAGGGGGCGTGCATAAGCGCACCAGCGTGCTTACCGTCCCTGTCCTACTGTTCCCATTTACAGTATATGTAATCATTCTATTGGCTGTTTTCCCTATTTATATCCTTTTATTTGTGCCAATTTTTTTCATGTGTCCATGTCTATGTCTATACTGTTACTTGTTTACTTGTACTTGTTGACAAACATAATAATAATAATAATAATAATAATAATAATAATAATAATAATAATAATAATAATAATAATAATAATGTACCATTAACCAAATTCTTTCAAACCTCTCCACAAAGCTTATTAATATCTCTACCTACTGACCATGTTGCTGTGTGGTGGTGACTTAAACCTATGGCTAACCAATTGTAATTGCCTGACAATTCCCAATAGTGCCTGGTAGCATGCCTAATAGGCACAGACAGTTTTAATTCAATGCAACCAGAGAACTCCTCATTGCTGCATGATACAGGAATGGGCAACTCAGTGACTTCCAGATGTTTTGGAGTATATTCTGAAAATACTATGCAAATACTATTATTAAACTTATGTATATATCACTGTAATTCAAAACAACCCTGGTGGCTCACATAGCAAAACATAAAACAAACCCCATATAAAAATAAAAATGCAACAGTACAATAGAAAAAAATAAAATAAAGATGTACACCACAACTCAAATCAGGGGAAAGCTTGTGGAAAACAGCACAGAAGGAGTCAGTCTGATCTCCATGGGGAGGCATTCCAACAAAAATGCAGCACGTCCTTTTCTTAGTTTCTTGAACCTCGCAGAAAGGTGGGACCTGCAGTATTTCTCTTTGCTAGACCCATTTGGTTAAGCCAAAAAACCCTCTGGAGTAGACAGTGCTGAAAGCATCCATTCAGGCTGTGATGACAAAGAGTGAAGTTGGAGGCTACTGAAACAGTACCAGGCATCTGGACTAGTGGATAGTAAATGAGTAGTACTGTATCCTTTCATCTTTTGTCTATGTTAGAATGCTTTTGAATTAAATATGGGTATCCCCAACTGAATTCGTCTACCAGAAAAGCTCAAATGGTCAGTAAGAAACATATGAAATTATAATAATAATAATAATAATAATAATAATAATAATAATAATAATAATGTACCATTAACCAAATTCTTTCAAACCTCTCCACAAAGCTTATTAATATCTCTACCTACTGACCATGTTGCTGTGTGGTGGTGGACTTAAACCTATGGCTAACCAATTGTAATTGCCTGACAATTCCCAATAGTGCCTGGTAGCATGCCTAATAGGCACAGACAGTTTTAATTCAATGCAACCAGAGAACTCCTCATTGCTGCATGATACAGGAATGGGCAACTCAGTGACTTCCAGATGTTTTGGAGTATATTCTGAAAATACTATGCAAATACTATTATTAAACTTATGTATATATCACTGTAATTCAAAACAACCCTGGTGGCTCACATAGCAAAACATAAAACAAACCCCATATAAAAATAAAAATGCAACAGTACAATAGAAAAAAATAAAATAAAGATGTACACCACAACTCAAATCAGGGGAAAGCTTGTGGAAAACAGCACAGAAGGAGTCAGTCTGATCTCCATGGGGAGGCATTCCAACAAAAATGCAGCACGTCCTTTTCTTAGTTTCTTGAACCTCGCAGAAAGGTGGGACCTGCAGTATTTCTCTTTGCTAGACCCATTTGGTTAAGCCAAAAAACCCTCTGGAGTAGACAGTGCTGAAAGCATCCATTCAGGCTGTGATGACAAAGAGTGAAGTTGGAGGCTACTGAAACAGTACCAGGCATCTGGACTAGTGGATAGTAAATGAAGTACTGTATTATCCTTTCATCTTTTGTCTATGTTAGAATGCTTTTGAATTAAATATGGGTATCCCCAACTGAATTCGTCTACCAGAAAAGCTCAAATGGTCAGTAAGAAACATATGAAATTTTATCTGAATAAATACAGATACTGCCGCTATGGTCTATCTATTATCTGTCATCTACCTATCATCCATTATCTGCCTGCCTGCCTGCGGCTTGCTGATCTATCTATCTATCCCTCTATCTATCATCTATCTAATCTCTATCTTATCTATCTAATCTCTATCATCTATCTAATCTCTATCTATCTATCTATCTATCTATCTATCTATCTATCTATCTATCTATCTATCTATCTATCTATCTATCTATCTATCATCTATCTATCTGCTAGTTATTCCTGGGGAAATCAGCCATTATCAAAATGTTTTTGATGACAGAAATCAGTCCTCCAACTAAAAGTGTTGATAGCTTGGTATGTTTTGGAACTTCAGAAGTTTCAAGGACATGCTTTCACAGAAAAGAAAACAGGAAACCATTACGACTTATGTACAAATAGCAGACATAGCGGCTCCTGGGCCACACATCCAGATCATCCATTAGACTGCTCTTGCAAACTCTTCCTAACAAGAACATATTTACTACTATTGAGCTTCTCATAATTGCAATCTCACTTGATTTGGTTAACTTGAGAAACTGAATACTTATTTGTGGGAAGAGAGCCCGGTAATAACGGAAGGAATTCTCAGAACCCAAAATGCAAGAATAGAATAGGAAATTGATTTTTATCTGCTTAAGTGGAGATGGAGAATTCTGATATTACTTCAAAGGAATAACTTGTAACCATAACCCCACTCTCAAAATGGTTTTTAACACTTAATGAAGTTTCAGAAAACATGAAATCATTCTGGTTTGACAGTGTCTCTTCCCATCAACAATGCCAAGCACTGAGAAATGCTAAGTGTTAAAATAATTGCAGGCAGCACAATGAGGCTTATTCGCAGATATAAATACCTATAATCCTTATAGTGGAATAGCCAATCCTAAATGTTTATTCAGTGGGCTGTCCAAAATAACTGCACAAAATTACAACACAAAACATCCATCACATGCCTGTGAGATATATGTAGCCACCACCATGTCACCCAGCACTCAAGCCAGAAATTAGCATCTTCTCAGAGGCATATTGTCTGAATTCCAGGAAAGTCTGTCATACCCTCACCTACAGTCAGTCTTTTAATTAAAGATCAGCTTGTTTATCTGAATTTTGCCATAAAAAGACTGGAATATAAGTCTATAAATTTACTGTAGTGATAAGGACAGACTTGGTCAACAATTTCACACTAAGATTTATTGTGTACTAAGAAACTGTTTTGTGAAAACAAATAAATAAAAAAAGTAAAAAAAAAGGAATGCTGGTGTATATATTTTAGAAATAAGAAATACACCCTAGACGTTTGTCTTGAATCTTATCAATTAACCAAAGTGTCCAGTTTGTCAAAACATGAAAAACACTTGTTTTTATATGATGTATTTGTATTTACATGATACATTTTTAAAGCAATAGCTACAATGATCATACTTATTAGAAACAATAAAAAAGAAGTTAAGAACTAAAATGTACATCATACACTTGTATATATATTCTTTACACAGAGGTAAAAAGGCTTATAAAAATCAATACAACTGAGTTTTTAACTTTTAGTATACAGATACATAATGGAAGGTTGCTTCAGGCACTTAAATCTGTTAACGTGAGCAATAGCTTGAAAAAAAAATCACAACTGAGGAAAAAACCCCACCTTTTCGTTAATGGATTGTTACCACAGATACAAAAATAAAATCTGAATCATTTCTCAGATGATTAATGTCAGTACTGAAAAGCTGAGAGGAGGAGAAAACTACACACTGATCAGCTGCAGTATGGAGATCAATGGGTAATATTTACACCACCACCCCAGTTCCCCCCATTTCTGCTCTTGCCCCTCTGAAGCCTCCTTCCCAAAACAACCCTCTTGCTCCAACGCACAGAGAGAAAGAAGGAACATGAAACAAAGTGCCAAGGATTCAAAGAAAGCCAAAGTAGAGATGGGAAGAAGGAATTTACAGGAGGAGGCAAGGTGGAAAGTTTTAGCTGCTTTAACGAAATAAATAGGGGCATTTAAATGGGGAACCTTGACAATCCTTAAGATATCTTCTGTAGTGTTGTGCTTCGCAGAGGAGAAAGACCTTAGAGAAATTCAGGAAAATGGGACAACTTTGCAACAATCACTAGGATATTGAAGTTGTTCCATTATTTGATTTTTGAAGCTGGCTTGATGTTTGTTAGTCATCCTTTGGAAGGATGTCATTTGCTGTCAGGCACATAAAATATGCATTTGCCCCATGAATTTCTCCCCCGTTAAATAATAATAATAATAATAATACTAAAGTAAAGTGAAGAGCTTCCTTAACCATTTAGCACTTTTCCAAAAAAGGATATTTAACAGCAGTATTTTCATTTGTACTATGTCATGTTGCCGGTATGTTACAGACAAATCCCAAACTTGGAATTTGAAACATGAACAATGGAGATTTTAGAGCTAATTGACTCACACATGAATTGAAGGCTGCAATTGAGGAATTATGTTTTAAATAGCTGATATAAATTAACCTGTTAAGGAGATAATGTGAATTCTTACTGAAAAACAAAGAAAAAAATATTACTTGGTTCCCTATGTATGTGAAAGATGAAGTGATCTAGTTCAGATTTTTACTTGCTATTAAGGATGAAAGAATGTTGAATTTCATTTCCTCATTTTTCCAAGCCTTAACCCTGGCTTATCCCATCTTTGTATTTATCTTTTTAAACATTAACTTTAGGCAACAATTGTACCATTTTTGTGCTAAATGGCAAGCATATTTCCTAGCAGAAGGCAATCCTACACTCTAATTATTTTCGCTCACCTTTCTCCTGACACCTTGATACTGTGTCTTTTTGTTTGGAGAACTGCAAGCCAACATTCTCACATAAGTGCACATTTTCAAAAGGTAAATTAATTTCAATTCAGGTATGGGTCTGAAAATGAAAAATCAGATAGATTCGCAGTAAAATGCAGAACAAAAACTAATTGCCCCAATCCCAGTATCGTTCTGCAAATTATGTCAAAGATCTGAGTTTGCACTGTCCTCACTTTACCTTTAGGGTTTACAGCCAAGTGTTCATTGTTCAGCTGCAAAGATTCCAGGGGCTCTGGAAGAGGAAAAAGCACCCCCCCACAAAGGAGGACCATATTGACAGGGGGAGGAACTTTAGCATTAAATCATCTCAGTACAGTCTGGAGGGAATACAGGCCCAGCCAGCAGCGGAACAGGGGATGTTTAATCAGTTCCTGCCTCTAAAGGCAATGCAAGGAGAATGCAAGATCTTTTTAGGCTGGTTTCTACACTGACACCTGCAAGCCAGTGTGGCCTCTCCTCAAGACTTCTCCTGAGGTGCCCTGAGTTTAAGAGTAGCTTGTCATGGCAAATGGTCGGGGTGAAGGTTGCGTTCAGGAGGGTTGCTCATTGAGAGGGTGCTGGATCCCAGCCCATGTCTTTCTGGATTGGTCCAATGCATTCTACAAAGTGCCCAAAGCAGAGAGCTGCCCCCCCCAAAAAAAAGGGAGGTGGAGGGAGAAAATGTCCTCTGATCGTGAAATATATACTCGCTTGAGTATAACCAGGGGTGCTCTGGCTGCAGGATTTGGCCATAACATCACAGATTGTTGCATATGCAATTAAACAAGATCAAAGCGACAACACTCCAGGAAGGAGCTGTTGGCCTGTTTTGCACGGAACAATGCAAACGTGTTCACTCTTGGTTGCTGCTATTTGGCAAAAACGAAAAGCCATTTCCTTTTCTTTTAATTAAGACTTCTGTCAATGTGCAATAGAAGAGGTGGGAGAGGGGCAAGGTCACGCATGCCCCAGCAGTCAGCTGCCCAAAGCAGGAACAGCAGTGCCTGTTCTCACAAGCCAGCGCCTATAGCTGCCTCAGAATATTCAGATTGTACTATGCTATATTATAGCTAAACTGTTCTACACTTTATTCCTTTGAATAAAACCTTTGCTATTTCCACATCATACATTAGAAAAATATCATTTCCCCAGCTAATTACAAGCCTTGTACACAAGACATGACTTTTAAAAGAAAATAAAAACCTCACAAAATTAAGGTTATCGCTTCGCCCTGCTGTATTTTACAACTCAGAAATCAAAGAAGTGGGTTTGATACAGATTTTGCAATGCATGCACGCTTTGTACATTACCAAGTTATATTGAAATTCACTGCTTGTTGGTGTCAGGATGCCTAGTGATTGCAGCAGGGCCCACCTTAAGGGCTATGAAAATATTTGAAGGTCCTAGTATCTTTCACGGCAAGATGATAAGAAGGGCCTGGGATTCGTCCAGTTTTGAACTATTCACCCTGGTTCTCTGCAGATGCCAAATATGCTGGTTCAGTGCATTTGAGAGTGAAGAACAGGGTGGCTTTATGCCAACTGCAGGTTGATCCTATTGTCTGCACAGCAGATAGCTGGGGGTGGGGTGGGGTCGGGATGTTGGTTTAGGCCAATGACAGAGAACCCTGAAAACACCCTGGTGCAACTTTCCCTGGTTACTTTTTCTTCCTATCTGTGCACTATGTCACTGAACTGGGAACAGAGGAGATAGTAACATTGACCCAACGTCACTAGGAATTATTTATGTTCACAGTATAGTTACTGTGCAGATCCAGGAACTTGAGAAATGAAAGATACACGCTGCCTGGATGGGGAAACTGTTCTCAGTCAATTTCACCTAAGAACAAAGTCATGCAGGTTAGTAAAGAAAAGGGAGAGAGGCCAGCTAGAGCATGCATTGGTACTAAAAGCATGAGTAAATGCTTCTTTTAACTCTCCTCTCCCCATTTCTGCAACATCTCTGAATTCATGATTGGGATAATATGTGTCAATTCCTCTTAGGCTTTTCTTTAAAGAAAAAAAAGAGAGAGAAATAAATGCACTTCCATTGAAAGAAACTGAATGATTTTTAAAAAGCCATGTTCCTGCCTGTATCTAAGTGATTGTCAAGTGCTATAGCGGCGGTGCCCTCTGGCTCTATTAAATCCATACCCAACAAATCCAGGTGCAAGGAGTCCTATGTCCTACTCCATGATAGAAAATGTTCGAAGCACCCTCATTGGTTCAAAGGCCTTCAAGGCAAAGACACTGGCCAATGAAATGCCTTGCAATTGAGGCTTCCCTATATTTCTGGATTAGTCTGCAAAGCATAAAACCTTGGATTAATTCCAGACATACTCCCACCCTGGATTCCAAAAAGGGGGTGATAGAGGAGGATTCATTCCCTTATTTTTAGCATACTGACCTGTAGACAAAGTTTAAAAGCAACATTCCCTCTTTTTCTTTTCAAGGTACACAAGTGAATGGGTGTACATGTCAATTTCAAAACATGCAAACCCCCCCTTTGCCTCAGATAGGAACACCACAGCATAAAGACTGTTTTCATCGGGAAGAACATCAATGCAAAGCTAATTTTTTTCACTGTTATTTGGAAGAGAAAGGCGATGGTGGCTGGGGAAAGAGGAAGAGGAGAAACCTATTTATAAATATTTCATTTTGTGTATAAAAATTGGTCTGAAATCACAGGAGTTCTCAGATTCTCACATATAATACAGGTAATACTAAGGCTCATTTCCCACATTTTAGCTGACCCGTTAACAATCAGAAAATCCCAGAAGACCACCAAAAAAACATGATGGGACTTTTCAGGAACTTTAGGTTGTGCGATTGTTGGCCCTACATTACCGTGGTGCACAATTATTACCCACAAACATCTTCTGTATACACAAGAATCCATACCCCCAAACTGGCTGCAAGGTGCTCACAATCCAAAATGGGATTTCACTCCATTGTTATATACTCTCACGGGTGTGATGAGCTTGCTAAATATAGATTACCCCCATGAGATGTTCCAAATTCCGTCCCATTCAACCGTTCCCATCTCAAACGCTTTCCTTGCAGGAGGGAAGGAATAATCACACAGAAGACCTTCTGCTGGATGATAGATCAATAATACAAACGTCTATGTGGTACATTAGTCTGTTAGAACTCCGGGAGCGATCAATGCATAGCAGCCAAGTGGGAGGGAAAGAGAAGGAGCCGTCTGGTTCCTAGATTCCAACAGGCTCCCAAGGCCGGCTCAGGTGGGCACAAACCAAGAATGCTCCAGACCAAGAAGGGGAAGAAAACAGGCCTTTCACCGGCTTGGAGCGCTGTCATCCAGCTGCTTTGTGTTTCCCACCACAGCACCTGCACATCACCCCACAGTGGTAGCAAGCCCGGAGGGGCAAGTAACAGCACATACAAGGGGCCAGAAAGGACAAGGCAATTAGGGCCAACCACCGGAGGCAAAACTTCTCATCGCTGGTATCGCAGGAGCAAGGGTCTGTATAGTCTCCTTCTGGATCAGACATGCAGTGGTAGAGCATACTGTCTGCACACCACATACAGCTGACTCGGCGGATACAGCTTTGAACTCGGTCTGGAGCATCCTGGCACTGACCCCGCCTGTTTTCCTCGTGGTTGAAGATGTCCCTACAATAAACACACCGTGACCTCTCCCCGTCTTCTTTTCGCCGCCGCTGTTTACACCTGGCTGGCTGAGTTTTTATCACGGCACCCTTAATGTCATCCCCTCGATCAAAGTCAGCATTACTAACGTAAGGGTAATTGTAGTCATGTTTCGAGGCCTCCGTTTTTGCAAACCGCACATAGGAGTCCCCATCATCGGGATCAATGTACTTCCCCCGCACAGGGGTATGACGGTAGTCCTCGTAACCTGTCACCCAGTTCTTTTCCCTTGGATTAATCCGTACAATCTCCTCGTCATCATCGGGGAAACTGACGTGCCGACACGATCGCAAGATTGACTATAGGTGAGAGAGAAAGAGATTTGAGAAAGCACAGATTTTTTTAAAGCAAGCAGGCAAGTATGACATTTAGCAGTAGATTTATCAGAGATACCAGCACAGGCAATGACACAAGTAAATGCAAAGGCTAAAAATATACTATGTACAGTAAAAGCCAACAATACAAATTATTGTGGCACACAAAACTATAATTCCCATAGAAAGGCACCCTTCCTCAACTGATACTCTCTAGAGTAGGGAAGGACATTGAAAAGGGTGCCTTTAAGCTTCCTCTTCACAGCAGAATACAAGCTGGGGTTTTGGAGTATAATTCCCACAATCACATACCACGGCCTTACCTGAAGCCCCAAGTACCCCAAGTTTGCCTATTTTTTCTGAATTTAGAAAGCTAAGCTATATAACCAATCAGGACTGTAGCATTTGGAGAAAATACCAATGCATTTTCAGTTACAGTCAAAATGTACAATGTTGTTTTTTATATACATATTGAGCAGCTGTAGGAAACAGCTGGTTTCAAAGATAACCTCTTTTTAAATAGGTTAAATTTTAATTGAATTTTAAATTATAAAAATGTTTTTTTAAATAGGAAATTTTAAACAGGCAATACACCAAGTCTAATAAATCTTCTGCTATTTCCCAAAAACCAACTAGCCATGACTTGGAAGACAATAGAGGTAAAGCTCAGATCACAGAGCTCTATCAAAGAGCTCCTGCTTTCACACATGCAGATAGTCACCAGGCTTTCTGGCCAAGCCAGTATGAGAAAAATCAGCATTCTGGAACAGCAAGGAAAGAATCTAAAGAGAGGCTCACTTGTTCTAGATGGTAATGCTCAGGGCTAAACTGGTCATGAAAGTGGCCGCGGGTGCAAATTCGGTGATGCTCAAAGGATGGAGAAGACGCTAGTGTTCGTAAAGGCTGCTCTCTTTTCTGAGAAGAATTAGAGGAACTGTCAGTGGCATTCTGTAAAAAACAAATGGGATAATATTAGCTAAGTTGCGAATACAATCTTTCTGCAGATTTGGGTCGCAATAGACACCTCCCTCCCTAAATAAAAGTTGCTAGATTTTAAACTGACCAACTTTTCCAAAATCACGGTTGGTTATGTCAAACTCTAAAACCCGGGAAAACAAGTCACAATTTTGTATCCTTATACAATGTTATATCTAAAGCAGGCTGAACCACAGCTTATTCATTATTTTTAATCTAGTGTTGTTGTATGAACCCAGGTGGTTTACAAACCAATGTATACAATATTGGGGGCAAAAAGCTAGTTGAATAGTCAGTCCAATCTACATAGATGGATTTAACATCACATTATTTTAACCTCTTATTTCATGAAAAGTAAGGAGGCATTGGGAACACAACACTGTTGTATGTCAAATACTACATAACTTTGCCCCTTGCTACTGGCTATTATGGGCAGAGATCAGAAGAGTCACTATGTAGTGGCTGCACAGCTGTGGGTCTTAAAATGTTAACATTAAGAAGCAGAAATGTACCCAATCTATTTAAATTGCTGCTAATACAAATTATAGCCATAACATCAAGTTTCTACCCACACACCTGCCTCCCATTTGACAAATTCAAAGAGATCTCTGTATACTACAATTCAGAGAAAAATAACAAGGAGTTACACTTATTTATTTATCACGTTTCTATACTATCTCACCTAAGTATTCTTGCATTTGCATTTCAAGTCACTCTTAAGTTGCTCAGGCTAATTTTTCTGCCTTTCAATGACCAGGAAAAATTGGGACACATTTCTGCTTTTTTTTTTTTTTAAGAGCAAATTTGTACTACACACCTTCAGCTAAGAAATGGGAATTCTTTTGTATATTTTCAACGAATGTGCAATTTGAAAAAAAAAATGTACAGTGAGAATTTTCAAGTCACAAAGTGGTGTGGTACGCTGAAATACCCAGAGCCAGGAACCACATGCCAATATTCTGAGTTGGGGACTATGCAAAGGACTCCTCTGGAGATGCTGGAAACTGCATATGAGAACACACACACACACACACACACACACACACACACACACACAATAAAAGAAAACAGGATTTTATCCCCTTTATAAACAATGTGTACATCTGAAATGAGAAAGAGTTAAAAACACATTTAAATCTTTATCTGATTCACAGTATGTGCTTTCACTACTCAGTTTTGGCCCTCCAGACAAGCTTTTAACAAATTCCCCTGGGGCCCTGTGATCCTAACTTGCAAAACTGGGCTGACATCTGCTGCACAAATGTTAGATCTTCATGCTAGTTACCTTCCAGGTAAATCAACATTCTTGGGAGCTGAGGTGGCGCAGTGGTTAGAGTGCAGTACTGCAGCTACTTCAGCTGACTGCTAGTTCAGCAGATCAGCGGATCAAATCTTATCGGCTCAAGGTTGACTCAGCCTTCCATCCTTCCGAGGTGGGTAAAATGAGGACCCAGATTGTTGGGGGCAATATGGTATTTAGTATACTGTCTTTGGTATAAGCCTCCCAGAGTCCTCGGAGAGTGGGCGGCATAGAAATATGAATAATAAAATAAAAATAAATAAATAAATAAACATTCTGGCCTGTATCAGAGCAGAAAATGAACTGTTTAGGTTAACTTCACTTAGGACTACCTACTACATCACCACCTCTTGATGCTGTGCATTGTTAAGACAACCCAATTCTTATGAGAATTCTTGTAAAGTGTTTCACAGATAGATTAAATGGCTGCTTAACTTCTGTTTCTTCCCAAAGAAGAAACTTTAGAGCAATAAAAGTAACTATGCTTTTATACAAAGCTTGGCATATTTTGAAAGAATATTCTCAAAGTTTTAGCGGCATCAGCTGTTGAATTCTATTTTGGCAATGGATTCCAGCTCAAATAAGTGTGGATGAACATCATAACTGCAAATAAGTGACCCCATCTGACTTCTTAAAATATCATTCTGTCTGCTCTGAGAAATCTCTGCTTGCAATAACTGTCTTTTTAATGTATCAGCATAAGCTCACAAATGCGCAGCTGAAGTTGGAAGGAATTTTTAAAAGCTGTAAATAGCAAAATATGAAGGCAGAGCATGTGAGCAAAATTTAACACAAATTTTTAATTCAAATGCTTCTATTACAGACAAACATGGTATTTCACCTGTCATGCTAATATTAAATCCTAAATAGAGGGCAGGAATGGAAAAAGGTACACATGCTTTATAGAGACCCACATTTAACACAACACCCAAACCTGCATCAATATGACTCTTCCTCTTTAAAGAAGCAACAGAGGCACTCAAGTTTTGATTCCCATAATGCTCACACACTACACTGTCTTAGCACAGCATCCATTTAAAGGCTCACAATATTCATTTAAGATGTGAACAGTTAGCCTTACTGTTCTTGTTGCCTGTGAAGAGCATGTCTGCAGAACCTCAATCCGGAGACTGCATGCTGGCCCCAACTGTCCTTTTGTATCCCCAAGACTACCCCGAGAACATGCCACTGAACTGGTAAGTTTCAGAATAAAAGAAGTTGTACAAAAAGAATAATAACTTAATCCTCCAAGGAAAGATTGAAGGCAAACGAGGTCCAGGCAGAAGAAGAACATTATGGCTTCAAAACCAAAGGGACTGGTTTGGACAAAACTCAGCAGCACTTTTTCATATGGCTGTTGACAAAAATAGGATTGCCAACATGATCGCCAACGTCCGATGACGGATATGGCACAAGAAGTAGTACAAAAAGAAAATCCGTATTTTACCAATAAAAAAATAAGCAAAAAATGTTTGTCCTTCTTCCTCTTAGCAATATCTCTTCATCACGGGTCATGCTCCCCATGGTTCCTGGAGGCCAAAAAACATCAATTGACTAATTAATGTTGCCTGCTCCTTCTTTAAAGCCATAGTTTCCAAGTTCTTCTCTACAGTTGGTCATGGAAAAAAGGACATTCCAATGCATAACACTGCCTCTGGACCAGTGGTGGGTTTCAAATTTTTTTTACTACCAGTTCTGTGCGTGTGGCTTGGTGGGCGTGGCATGGCGGGCATGGCAGGGGAAGGATACTGTAAAATCTCCATTCCCACCCCACTCTAGGGGAAGGTTACTGCAAAATCCCCATTTCCTCCCAATCAGCTGGGACTCGGGAGGCAGAGAATAGATGGGGTGGGGCCAGTCAGAGGTGGTATTTACCGGTTCTCCAAACTACTCAAAATTTCCGCTACCAGTTCTCCAGAACTGGTCAGAACCTGCTGAATACCACCTCTGCTCTGGACAATGAAACAGGCAACCTAGCGACTTCAAGCAGTCCGTGTCTGGGTGGCAGCCAGTATGAACAGAAAAGAAAAACAAGAGGTCCATCCAGCATTCAAAAGTATCCTTCATGTTTACAAAAGCTTGTTTTTCCTGCCCTGAGCTATCCTTCCATTTTGCAACCCTACTAGTTTGGCCGTAGCATGCCTTGAGGAGACTGAATCAAAGAAACAATACCTGTTTTTGAACCACAGTCCTTGTTTCCTACTAGTTGCAATAAAACAGCATTCTAAAGCAGATCAGAATATCCCGAGATTGCTTACGGAACAGAGCAATAATCTTGCATTATTATTATTTTTTGCTTTTGAATCTTCATTGGTTTGTTTTCTGTTTGAATGGCACTGGAGGGAACTTATCCATAGGACAGGGAAGGCAGAAATCACTTCAAAAACTACTTGCAGATCCCTTCCTCCAAGTATCCTTAACTGCGTTGATAGTCATTCATTATACTGTAGGCTACAAGACAATTTCCAAATTCAGTGCTGAAACTAAATTGGGACTTGAGATGAGGTAGGGTGACTTTTTCAACCTGACCAAGCTTTCATAGGCAATATAGAATTGCTCTCAAAAGTCACATAGAAAAACAAAGAACTTTCTTACACAGATTTTACTATTACCATTCATTTATCTTGAGAAAATGACAGAGAAGAGATCCAAGAAAGCTACTTCTTGGCTCAGGACTCAATCCTGACACATGGATGCACAGGTATTCATTTGAGATGAAGATGCTCTTGAGGCATGTCTGCAGATCTTCAGTCAGTCTATAGCTCAGTTTTGCTGTCTATGGAAATTCTCAATTATCCAGGTCATGGTAGTGCCAAAGGTGTTTCTTCCAAAAGGCAACTGGACTTTCTTGGTTAAGCTTCTTCAGTTCTAACAACTTCTCAGTTTTGCTGTTCAAAATGTCCAGCCATTTCTATGACTCAAATCTGACTCAAACCTAACCCTAACCCTTTGCTATTCTATCTTTAAAACCTTAGCAACTGAACATTAGCATGCAAATGCTATTGTGAATAATTAGTACCAACACATTTAGCAGCCTTTTAATTACAATGTCCATTAAAAGATACTGAGCTCTACACATGAGTTCATCTTGTTTTCATTGCTCTTCTGCACAGACACAGGTTGCAATGGATTACCTAGGGTCTAATTCTGCAAAAGCAGTTTATAAAAAGTCATCACTAAATGCCCAATTTATTTATTAAAAATGTTTATATAGTTTCCTATTAATCAAAAGGAGCACATACCTTACTCTGGGCAACTTACAGACCCACTTCATCAGTAAGATTAAAACACTATACAAAAACATAACAACAAAAATATCAACCCTCAAATCCAAAAGAGCTTTGCATTCAGAAGAATTGGATTAGAATAAGGCATAGTGATCTGGTTCACTTAGAATATAAAGACTCTGGTTTACAAGTCACTAGACTCCCAATCAAACTATACCATTTGAATGAAACGATACAGCTTTTAATATTACAAAAACCAAAGTCTTGTAGATTCAGTCTCACCAAGCTTCAGTTGGTTCTCCTATCCTTTCTAAACTTCTGACATATCACAATCAAAAGTTCTTTTAGAAATGAAACTACAAATTTTTAGTTGGGTGGGTGTAGAGAACTGAACTGGCTGTAATTTGTGAAATCAAACTTAGCTTCTCTTGTTCCCTCTCACGCAC